CGTCTCCAAAAGACTTTTCCGTCCTCTTCCTTCTAGGCGGAGATGCTGGACACGGCGAACAGCCAGTACAACTCCTTTCTCTATTGGAGGATGCCCATCCCGGAGCTCGACCTGGCGGAGCTGGAGGGGCTGGGGTTGACCGACGCGGCGCTCTACAAAGCCAAGGGAGGTGTGGGCAAGCGGTCCGGGGCCTGGAAACAGCTCAGGCAGGACATCTCCGAGGAAGAGGACACTCTCCTGCAGTTCAACAGCTTCAATTTCTGGCGCGCGCCGATAGCCAGCGTTAGCGCGTTCGATTTTGATCTGGTCTGATGCCAGCGGCCCAGGCACACAGCCGGGTCTTTTTGGTTAGGTCTCTGTGTTGTCCTTTACTTTGAAAGTGGTTGCTGACGATTCTGATTAACGAGTTGCCCAGTGATGACACCTCCAAGGCTCACCGTCCGTGTTTCCCCATCCACCCACCTTCTCTCTTCTCAAGGGTATGTCGACACAGTCAATGCAGGGGTAGGCACACCTGAGCTAGCGTTACTCTAGCTGGCGTGGGTAACCATCGCAGGGTAGATGCGGCAGCCGGGCCATTTGTCCCATTTTAAGCCGGGCTGTGCTGTTTTTCTGTGGTTGGGCCTCTGTCCAGCACTGGGATAAAACCAGACATGGGTTTGTCCAGTATCAGGCACAGAGGACACCATGTTGAAGAGTGCGCCCCTCTGCCCCTCCAGTGTGACTGGGGTCAGGGGCAGTGAAGCCTCCCCCAAAGTGGGGGGGCAGGGACCCCTACCCTCTCCGTGGCACCGCCTCTGCCCCTCTTCTTATCACCGAGACCCCACCCCTGGCCAAGCCAGAAGCGGGGCTGGGGAGCCCAGGCCCCTCCACTTACCTAGGGTACAGGGGGCTTGAGAGCAGCCCCTGACCCTTGTTCCCACCCCCTCCCCAAGCCCTCCACCCAGGGCAGGTGGAAGGTCCGTGGCTCCCCACAGCTCCCCAGGCTCCCGTTGCTGGTCTAGCCAGGGGGCGGGGCCTCGGGGGAAGAGGAGGGGCAGGGACAGGGCCCGTGGCAAAAAGTGGTCCCTGCCCTCCCCCGTTCCAGTGCCCCTGACTGGAGTGCTCTTCAACATGGCATCCGTAGGGTCATGCCAAAGGGGCAGTGTCACACAGCTGAGGTCGGCCCCACGCCATTCCCAGAAGTACTGAAACGTCTGGTATTTCTGGGGATGCATCAGTGGCCCCCTTAACATCTGGTGGCCCAGGCTAGCCACCCCAGTACTAGCCTGCCAGAGTCCCGGGGTGCCTATTTGGGTTGCCAGCCCATGCCCATGCCCATCTCACCCTTTTCTACACTGCTATTGTTACTCACGCTGGCTAGACCAAAACGACCCGGGGCGTGCCGAGCCGTACTGCAGTCACACCTTCACGTGCCCGTGCGGAGCTCAGAAGTGTTGGAAGCCACAGTCAGTTTGTCTTGGTGTGAGCAGGCATTGTGCGATAGCTCTGACCGTACCTGTGCGACAACGTGTTAGAGAACCACCAAGTAGCGGTCGGATTTGAGCTCATTCCTATTGTGTTTTATTAAGAAACGTGGGTGCCAACAGAAGACCACCTCACCTATCCAAATTCTCCTCTTAGCTGAAGTCCGATTGCATTGCCCTGGGGAGGCGGACATCCCTGCTTCTCTAACCCCCCCCCTCCCATTTTTCCAACCCGTGCTCAGTTCCCCCACCCTTTCCATTTGGATATTCAAGGTTTCTCTGCCGGACATCGCCAACAGGCCCTTTGTTCTGCTCAATTCTGATCAGGCACAAGCAGGAGTGCTGCCAGCTTTTTTGCCGCCCTAGGCGGTGGAAGGTCCCGCCCCCGAAATGCGGACGACGACCAGGGCGGCCGAAGATCCGGCCACCGCGGTTGCCGCCCCCTAAATGTTAGTGCCCTAGGCGACCGCCTAGGTCGCCTAATGGGTTGCGCCGGCCCTGGGCGCAAGGCTCATTTCTGAAAAGAATCCCAGCTTGTCTGCCTTGTGTGTCCAAAACCGCAGAGCAAAGAGAAAACCAGCAGTGTGACAATTTTGCTAGGAACGTAGCTACATTTTCATTAGGATGTAGAGAAATGTCTGGGCCAGAGCCTCAGGAGGTATTGATGGAGCCGGTTTCCACCAGCCGTAGATTTGGCTGCCTGACCCACTAAAACCAAATACAGCCACCACATCAGTTTTGCCTTAAAGACTTGGGGTTAAATATTGCTCGGGCTCCCATCCCCTGAGATTACTGCCACACTGAACATGGGTCGCATGTGGGCTCTGAGGACCCGATTCGGATTGCCTCGTAGTGCCTCACGCCATGAGCCGGGCATTGGCCGTCTAAAGCCAGGGAGCAACACGTTACTCCGCATGGGTGCGGCCATCGGAGCCGGACCCTTACGGCCGACTCTTGCTGCCCGTATCACAGGAGGGCCACCCTGCGAACCCTCTCGCTGGTGATCATCCGATTCCCCCCCACTGAAATATTTTGGGGAGACGTCTGAGTAGCCACTCGCCAGTGGGATGAAGACCTTGGCAGCCTGCTTACTGAGTCGTAAGTGGCTCTGTATGTTACTCTAGTCGGGGCGGCTTTGAGCAGTAAGGCTCAGAGCCACAAGAATCATAGGACTGGAAGGGACCTAGAGAGGTCATCTAGCCCAGTCCCCTGCTCTCATGGAGTTTTCGGATACTCATGGAGTAGCAAGAGGATTAGGCGTTGTGCTTTACCCACACTGGCTTCACGGGCGGCTGTGGGGTCCGTCGGCCCCGCCTTGCTACACCTGGCTGGCATCAGGCTTGGAGCGAGGGGAGAGCCCAGCTCAGATGAAGGCTGATTGGGGAGGAGAGCGGCCGAGCCTTCCAGAGCCTCCCTAGGGAAAGGCAGGAGAGTTGTGGGACCATGTTGGGATCTATGTCAGCCGTGAATGACCTGCCCCTGCCCCTGCGTTAGTTTGCTGCAAGTGGTGCCCTGCCTGAAGGGGGCGACTGCTTGGGAATCGACCTTTGGTTTCCTTACACCCGACTGCTAGTGCTGACTTGTCCGGAGCCTAGAAACAACCTGACCGCAGCTGCCTAGCGCTTATTGATTTCAATGGGGGTTAGGCACCTAAATGCCTATGAGGATCTGGGCCTTAGGGGCTACTTAGAGTGAGCAGCCCTCAGGTGAAGGGGTTAAAAAAAAAGTTTTTCCTCCCCCAAGTGCAAAAGAAGTGTCTGCAAACAAGTGGTAGAAAATCTGGGAGGTTTTTTTTATGGCCACATAAATAAAAAAAAGGCTTGTTGGCTGGATTGTTCATACCTGTGCTGACGCCAGGTATGAGAAATGTTAGTCCAAAAGGCAACAGGACAAGAGAGATGGAAAAGGCTGAAGAGGAGGGTTTGTGCTGAAGGGTAGCATTGCTCCAATGTACCTGCTGTTTATGGTACACAGTGCTGCAAGGGAGGCTAGGAACGTCTATTCTATATGGAGATTAATTGTAACAAATCTATGGCAACGTAGGACTTCACAGAGGTCACCCTGCTGCATCAGGCGGTTGTTTGGAATTTCAGAGTGATAGAACTCAGAGCCACTGCTCCAGGCTTCTACAGTGTGAGCTCAGAGTGAATTTCCTTTAGCAGCGACCAGTATAGGGTCTATGACCCACAGTGGAGCAGTTCTGATTCCACCCACCAGAGGGCAGGGGTGCAGCTGCATGCTAGCCGGTTCTTGATGTTATGATGCTAGTCAGGAAATTCGCAATGTGCAGCAATTCAAAGCCTTCCTGGAGCTTGCAGAGTATGTGACATGTAGAAGGGAACGAGGCAGCCCGAACTAGTAAACGGCCGGGAAAAATGTAAATTCCACATACAGAGCATGGCTATTTCACCTTCCAAAAATAGCCGGGCTGCTGACTTTAAGATGCCGATTTTAAACTGGAGGTGAAGAATGTAAACTTTCCTTCACAGGCCTGTATGGTTTTGTGTCCCAAGCCAAGAACCCATGGAAACCAGGGGCGAAGTACTTAGAATGAAACTTTAAATAAAATTCGTTTTAAAAAAGTACGCATTCCTGTGGACACTTGAAATCCATACAGACTGGAACAAAACGCTCTTTATAGTTGTTATGCCTCAGCTGCCTTTAAACCGTTTAAAGTTCTTTTAACTATATAAGGTTAACGGACATGCCAAACAGTGGGTGCGCCTTGTCTGAAACGCCTGCCTTCTTGCCTGGGGGAGTGAAAAATCAAGAGGCTTCTCAAATAAAGGGTCTGCTTCTCCTTTACCCTGCACCAGTGCCAACTCAATGTAAGAGACAGCTGTGCGGGAAGTGCTTTCTGTTTCACGAGAAATCCTGCCATTTTGAAGTTTTTCCTCCATTCCAGAACAAAACAATTCAATTCAAAAATTTCCCGTGAAACAAAATTTGGAGGGTGGCGGGGGGGGAGGGGGGACTATTTGGGGTCGATCACAATGTTTCACTCGGATTTCAGCTTTTTCAAAATGTTATAGTCTGTGGTCTAAAGTCAAACGATTGGACAATCATTTTGAAATGGAACCTCGGGACGTTCGGCTCCAGAAGGAGTGAAATGGAACATTCCGCCCTTAGCGGAATGCGCCATTATGATTTTGTTTCTGAAATGAAATGGTCAAAATTGACACGTTCCCGACAAACATTTTGATTTGGATGAAACTGCATCTTCCGAAGGAAAAACATTCCGCTGGGAAGCTTCCCAGCAGCTCTAGTGACAGACACTGCCATTCTGAGCACTTGATATCCACTTGGCATTGGGGTAAGTGCTATACAAAGGTGCAGGGTACCAGGGAATTGGGCCCAAAGTCTCCAAGACCGACATGCTTAATGTTCAGTGTGCCTTACAAAGAAAGCAGGTAATGAATGGGAGAAAGCTACTAAATTAAAATGAAACGAAAACCACTGTATTCTCCATCCATCCTTCACTGCTGGTTTGGTGTCAGTGCTGATATAAAAGGCCTCGGAATGGATTACAGAGACCTGCCTTCATCTTGGTTTCTGTGTGAATTCTGAGGCTATGTCTTCACCCTTCATGAGATCTTTCTATGTCCTGAATTTAGAACTGGGATGCTTCCAGGGACTATATATTCCTCAGATCTCACAGAGAAACAAAGGTGTCCTGATCAAGCCAATATGGTCAAGGGGAGGGTGTGCGTGTTTGGTCAATAGGTACTGGGGATCTATGGTTCACGCACACAACCTAATGGACCGCAGCAAATGCTGAGAACTAGAAATCTCAATATCTGGGTGGGTTAAGTATCATACGGTGTATGCAGAATGTAAGGCTACTGTACTTTGTCCTAGAGCATGCACAGCTGTATAAGTGTCCAGTAGTCCTCTTACATACAGAAATCTGCAGAGTATAGACACCAATCCTGTGTATGGCTCTCTTGTACATTGCAAGTGGCTTCTGAGTACGTTGTGTTAGTGAGGAGTCCTTGTTTTACCTCCCCTTTTATAAGGACAGATGCCTTGTTTGCCTTCACAAATTGTTCAGTCTTCCACTGGCCCAGCTGTCTAGCACTTCCACTGCCGCTTTGTGTTCTCCAGGCCGGACTGAGCGAAGCCGATGCCAGAGGTGTTTTCCAAAATCTTCAAGTGTAATGGTCCCAAACTCTAACCGATGGCTTCACCTGGCAGTCTGTCACCGTGCTGCCTCCGAACAAACGTTAAGAAAGTATTTCGCCCCAGAATGACGCTAAATCTTCTCTGCGTGAATATTACGCCATGATTCGTATTCTTTGAACTAAAATGTTTATTGTGGCAACAGATTCACCAAACTGTCACGCCGCTGCTTTTACGGTCTATTGCTTTTGCCGGGCATTTAGAAGTCTGGCACTTTCGCTACGATTTCAGCTGCCTCACCACTTTGTGCTCCATAATATCATCTTTTAGCTCTCTTGCCATTTCATAATAATAAAAGAGTATGAAACTAAGAGGCTGTATTTGTAATTTCTGGGGACCACTCTCCCCTGGCTGGGTGCAACTATGGAATTCAAGTGTGTGGAAACATCAAAACAAAGATCTACTGGTTTTCTTTATGGCTGTTTTCTAGTTGTCGACTTTCCCATCCGAGTGGGCCCAATCGCTCAAACGGTTGTAGGTTTATTTCCGTCCTGTCTGATATCATTATAACTAGACTTGGCTGCAACAAAGGAATTTTCATCCTGCTGAAGATGCCAAGGTTTAGGGGAAAATTTCATCCTAAATTGGAGTAAATCTCAATTTTTTTCATGGGACAGAAAGTCTAAAATAACCAAAATGGAAATTTGTTTTGGCTTGCTGGCTGCCTTCCTTGTCAATTTCATGGTCCCCCTGCAGGGAAAAAGTGAAATTGACAAGACCCTTCTCCATGAGTTTTCAGGGTTCCAGCATTTGGATTTTTTTCCAACGGAAAAATTGAATTTTTTCAGCCAAACTGAAATTTTCCCACAGACAATTTTGATTTTTGCACAAAGGGCCTATTCGGTTGGAAAACTGTAGCCCAGAACTAACCGTAACATCACATTCTCTCAGATCCTTTGACTTTGTGACATTCCCACAGAACGGGCATCATGTCAAATGCAAGCAGTCCGTCTTTAAGAACATAAGAACGGCCACACTGTGTCAGACCAATAGCCCATCTACCCCGGTATCCTGTCTTCCGACAGTGGCCAGTACCAAATGATTCAGAGAGAATGAAGAGAACAGGCTAATTAAATCAAGTGATCCATCCCCTGTTGTCCAGTCCCAGCTTCTGGGAGTCAGAGATTTAGGGACCCCCAGAGCATGGGCTTGCATCCCTGACCATCTTGGCTAATAGCCATTGATGGATCTATCCTTCAGAACTTAGTCTTTTTTGAACCCAGTTATACTTTTGGCCTTCACAACATCCCCAGGCAGTGAGTTCCACAGGCTGACTCTGTGTTGTGTGCAGAAGTCCTACCTTTGGTTTGTTTTAAAGCAGCTGCCTATTAATATCATTGGGTGAGCCCTAGTTCTTGTGTTAGGTGAAGGAATAAATAACACTTCCTTATTCACTCTCTCCACACCGTTCAGAATTTTGTAGACCTCTATCATATCCCCCCACCTTTAGTCATCTCTTTCCTAAGCTGAACAGTCCTAGTGTTTTTAATCTCTCCTCCTAAGGAAGCAGTTCCCTGCTCCTAATTAATTTTTGTTTCCCTTCTCTGTACTTTTCCCAATTCTAATCTATCTTTTTTGAGATGGGGCGATGAGAACTACCCTGCGGTATTCAAGGTGTAGGCGTACCATGGTTTTAGATAGCGGCATGGTGATGTTTTCTGTCTTTGCATTTGAAGGAGAAGGAAGGAAGGTTGGTAAAGCATTTGGAAGATGTAAATCTGCACCGTGCGCTTGATTCTGCATCTCCCTGCACCTGCTGCGGTAATGGACACAAGCACAGAGTGCAGGTAAAATGCTGCCCGATCAGGATGGTAGCATCTTGCACTGCGCTCTGGAGTAAATGGCTGTATAAGCTGCAAGATAATGGAGAGCCAGGGCCACAAAGCGTTAAGTATTATTATTATTAATAAGAATAGTGTATCCTCTTGGTCTAGATTGAGCTCTTCGAGGTAAGGGGTCTGTCCTTTGTTTTTCACCAGGTCTGTTGTATGCTTGCAGTGGTCTATTGCCCTGTGTGCGCAGCTGGTATAGACCAGCATAGCTCCACTGATATCAGCAAAGCTACCAGCCCAGGATCTGACCCATCATGTCTTCTTCTCTTTTGATCGTGGTGACTGGATCTGTTACAGACTTCACTCACCGCAAGAGCGCCTCTTTCCCGGCCTGGCCTTGCGTAGCGGCTTTCTTGCTGTATGGCTCCCTCTGCCGATGGTCACTCCATCAGTGTGGCGCTCTCTCTCACAGCCCTCTGGCTAGGTCGCTATATGATCCCCCCTTCCAGGGGCTCAGAGTCTCACCAGGCACTGCCAACAACCCAGTGGCTGGTAGGGGAACCCCGGCCCTCCCTCTACACTGGGTTCCAACCCAGAGTCTGCACTGTCCCCCCTCCTTGTTGCTGTTAGCCTGAGAAGGCAGGGTAGGAAGAAACCCAGGTTTCTTTCCCCACAACTCCTGTGGGGTTGATGCTCCTTCCAGGGCGTATTCTCCCCCCCCCGGCTTTCCTCCTCCCCACTTCCCTGCTGCTAGAGAGCAACATGCAGCCTCTCTCCCGGCTTCTACAAAACTCTTCACACAAATCTGACATGAGGAATCATAACATTCAAAAACCAGTGGGAGAACACTTCAACCTCTCTAACCACTCAGTGACAGACTTGAAGGTGGCAATTTTGCAACCAAAAAAACCTTCAGAAACAGACTCCAAAGAGAGACTGCTGAACTTGAATTAATCTGCAAATTAGATACAATGAACTTAGGTTTGAACAGAGACTGGGAATGGCTGGGTCATTACACTAATTGAATCTATTTCCCCATGTTAAAATATCCTCACACCTTCTACGGGTCATCTCGATTATCACTTCAAAGGTTTTTTTCTCTCTCCTGCTACTGATAGCTCATCTCAATTCATTGGCCTCTTACAATTGGTATGCGTACTCGCACCTTTTCATGGTCTCTGTATGTATAAATATCTTCTTTCTGTGCGTTCCAGTCTATGCATCTGATGAAGTGGGCAGTAGCCCACAAAAGCTTATGCTCAAATAAATGTGTTAGTCTCTAAGGTGCCACAAGGACTCCTGTTCTTTTTGCGGATACAGACTAACACGGCTGCTACTCTGAAATCTTCCCTTTCTATTCCTTACCCAGTTCTCCCCCTGCTGGCTTCCCTCAGCAATTAGTATTTATAAATCCCTGGGCCTCCCTTCAGGTGCCTCTGGGAAAGCGAATTGGCCTCTTGGGGCCACCGTGACCCTTTCAGGGCTAATGTGGGGTGATCGCCTTTGGCACTAGTGCAGGGGTGGATTAGCCACTGG